CCTGGTTGCCGAGTTCACGAAGTGAATTGGCTTGTTTTGCAACGTCGTTGCCAAGCGACGAAATGGCAAACACCGGGGGGGGGCATACTCGTGTAAACGCATGCCGCAGTCGTTAGACAATTGACCTCGCATCCCTGCAATTCCGGAACGTAGCGATATGCCGGGGTTTCGCCGGCCTAGACTACCATATATGACACAAGATAACACACCCCCTGGACCAATTTTCAAAGCTCGATTACTCCACGACCAAAATAAACGAAACAATACATTTTTGGAAAGCTCTCGACGAGACGGTTCCAACGCCGCCGTTTTCGGCGCCGTGACTTTTCTGTTGTTGAGAAATCGAGATTTGAAAATCGGTCCAGGGGGTGTATTATCTTGTGTCATTTTCGGTACATTTCACAAGGATGGACCAGACGCTGGCCATCATCCTTGCGGGGAAGCAAGCGCAACGCCTGCTCTGACCAGAAATACATCTTTCAGAGCAGTAGCGGACGCGTTTTCGCCTGAGCTGACTGCACCACAGCACCGCTCTCTCGCACACTCCCCGCCCCCCATCCTGGAAGCGAGCAGATAAGACTCCGCTGCCCCTCTACCGCCGTGTAACCTTCCGTGTCTTGTTCCAAACTATGTACAGAAAGTAAACATCTCGCAGAGGGACTTCTGTAACCGTTCCAGATATTAATTATTTCTACTATGTTCTCTTTGCCCAATTTGCAGCAGTAGCTCCACATATACTGAAAGAGTGTGTACACGTCTCGCCACGAAAAACGGGGGGACTGTCGCCATCATAAATACGGAGTAGGACGAAAACACATACCACACAGCAGTGCTGTGGTGCACAGCTCGCGTATCGCCCTGTTTTCACCCCATCCCCTTTTTCCCAGCATAGTCTACATGGTCTTTCGATGTGCGGCAGACCCCGTGGGAGCCAACCAGGGATCATGAGCACAGCACACACCTTAATAGCGAAAACAGTAGCCTCTTCCAGTACAACACCCCCATTGTAGATAGGAGTTGGTATGGGTATACGTATAAACCTGTACACCTTTTACTTCAGCAGTTACGGGACCATAGCCTATTGACTGAAATCCCAATTCGTCCCGACATGATGAAATCATGACCATCCACCCGTGCCTGCAGGGAACCTCTCACCGCAGGCAGACCTCTGTAAGCTACCGACATCTACTACCCCGACTCAGCAAAGCTGTCGCGATAGCTGTCAATGAAGGGTGCAAGCTAGAGTACGTGAAATTGCACTGGTTCACACGTTCGTCCTATCGTTCACGCGCTAGGTTCAACTGGTGGGTGTCCGCCTGATGGGCTGTTCATGCTATTCACGTATCTCTTCGATCCTCGTCACGCTTGACGCTGTGTGGCATGACAAAACCGTTGTCATGAGAAAGGACGATGTGCGGGTGCGCGCGTGTGCGCTATCAAGGAACCATACCCCAGCCCAGCAAACCACTGTGCCTTCCAGCTGCTCTTGCGCCTACAGCGTGCTCAGGGATCTTGAGGGCCACCCCAAGCAAACAGCAGTAGCGGTGCTCCGGTTCAGCTGCTGCTCATACTACAGCCAGCGATGAAACAAACAATGCTCTCACCTCGAACACCATCCCGGCAGCTCACCAGAGCAGGCACGAAAGCGCCACACGTGTTGACAGTTGCTGCAAGCGCAGCGAGGCAAGCTTGCAACTTCATTCCTTGGACAGTGGGGGTTGTATATCTGTTGGGGGTGAGCAAGGAGCAGGCAGCTGGGAGGGGCCCGAAAACAGTACACCAAACGCTGTATTGTAGATTGGGTATGTTATTATAGCACGATGCCGCCAGTCTGTGAACCCCCCGGACTTGCCCTTGTGACGGCACCACGTGCATGTTTCAGGTTTATCTTGCCAGCTCGCCTCTCTGCCCTGCTCTCTCACCCCCACCCTCTCGCTATTGAGTCTTTGATGAGGGAAGGAGGAACTCGAACTAATTCAGGTGTGGCATATTTTGAAACAGCGAGTCAAAATGACTTCAAAGTGGAGCGAATTGTTTATAATAGTTCTCATCTCGCCCATGATACACTCAGAAACCGACTTGATACAACAGGAGTGCTACGGAGTGCTGGACAGGTAACAAATTTAGATGCCACAATCCGGTGCGACAGCAGCATTGACGCATGGCGATACTCACGGTCCAACTGGGATCTTGTACCTTGTACAGGAGTCGATAGCACGGGGAACGAACAACTGAATTCTGCCACGTTTTGGTCTCTGGCGGAATGATGCTCATCATGTGGGCATGAAAACAGGCTCAAACAGTGTATCCAGTAGGTATTTCTGCACTCACTGCCGCCAAGACTTTAACCCCCCCCCGATGGACGTGTCACAGTTTCTCGGACGGGTACTCTCTCTGTGTCGGTAGTACCGTATATATGTTCTAAAATGCAAAGGACAGCAAATAGCCATGGCGCTCCTTGGCTGTCGCCACGGAAGCCCTCCTGCCCTCCGACTCCGCCTGCTAGACTATTGCTGGTACGTTTGTAGGGCTGCTGTCTAGCTGCACACAACCGGCCGCTGGTTTTCGGCAACGCACATTTTGTTGAAACAAACTCCACAGCAACCCACCTCGCGCGACACTTGACACGCTCAAAGATTTTTTACAGTACTGCTACTTCCGGGAGCGGACAGTTGGCGATGCGTGTGGGTGCCGCACGGCCAGTGCGCCAATGAATCGTATTCGGTCCAGTCACGGGTAACGCCAACATGTCGTCAACTCATCATGGGGGGTGCATATGGCGTGCAGTTCGGGCGTCGAATCTGCAACACTCCATAGCTTTTGCCGTTGTTTTTCCTCCACCCCAAGACGGAGGCCGCAACGTGGTTTAGTTGGTAGCCTCGCAACCTCCTGGCGTTTAGGAGTGGGTTCGTCCAGGTGCGGTCACACGAAGTGGAATTTTCTCACAACATGGCCAAACAATGTGGCAGCGACACCCCCGTGTGTACCGCTTGCTGTCCGCCAAAACACTGGACGTTCCGGTCGACGAGGGAATGGAACGGCCAAACCCTGCTCGCGAAAAAATCAATGCAAACACCGCAGATGGAAGGTGGAGAAGCCACTTCGGTGACCTTCCTTCCTCCTGTGTGGCTGACCTCGGCTGGTGCGCCCAGAAATTGTAACGAAACGTGTACCGCCCGACGTCCAGATACACATGATGAGAAAAAGGATGACTAAATATTTATAGACTATGTTCCCGCTTGTGTCCGTGTAGCAGAAGCTTCATTGTAGTTACTTCGAAGTATTATTTTTTTGCTAAAAACACAGTCCTTCTTCCGCGGTACCCCCCTCGTCAACCTTGGGTTTAGTAAGGCAGATAATGTGTAGCAGTTTTTGACGTTACTGTTTTAATGTTGTAAGGCTGGCACACGTTAAAAGGCCTTGCTCAACCCACGTTGGGGGAGGGTCCCGGGGGCCGAAGGGTGTGATTGGCCAAGAAGAAAACGAACGATGAGTCCTTTCGCTGTCCGGACAAGCGGGACTTCGGTATTGATTGAAGGAAGAAACGGAGGCAAAAGCAAATGATTTTTGCGGAATCGAAGTACCCGAGGTGGGACTGCGCCCCATTTGCACCCTCCATGTTGAGCTGACCTCGTGTTGGCGTTACCCCAGACCTGACCGCATGTGGCACACGGGCCGTTATGCCGACACGCATTACCCATTGCCCATCCCTGGAAATTGGAAATTACAATGATTCTGTGATCGTGCCAAGGTTTCGCACTAGATGGGTTGATGTAGATCTTGGTTCCCAAAATGTGCGATGTCGAACGCTTACGGCCGGTGATGTGCAGCGAGACAGTCCAAACAAAAGTGGTACTGTAGGGCAAGGCTGAGGGTGAGGCTTGGACCACTGGCACCAGCTGCTCATGCTTTAGCTTGGTGCTTGTGCTGATATGTGTTTGCAGTTTTCCTGTGGATCACACGGCCTACGCTCCACCTGTATTTGGTGACAGCGACACCTCGAGGCAGCTATTCCGCCGCACTTGGGTGCTACTGAACCTCGAATCGGCATTTGGATTGTGGAAGATATTGTTAAAACGGCACAAGCTCTTCTTCTCATTCACCTTAACCCTATATGGGTCCTCCTAATTGGCTGTTCATTTTGGGAACCGTAAAGCATGCCCGTACGGGACGTATCTCCAATCGTGGTCCCAGAAGGGCTTCTCGCCGAGAAGCCCCCCAACCTCCTTATCGCGGTGTTTCTCTTGCAGTGAGGCGAAGGGCGAGGAAGGTTTCTGGCGCTTGGTGCCCGCTCGAGCGTGCTCCAGAGCTCCACCTTCTGCTCTCTGCTGTGTCGATACGCCACAGAGGTGGTCCCCGCCCCACCCATTCCACAACAAACAATTCTGGTTAGAATGCCGGAGTTTATTGTCAACCGCCTGGGCGAACGGCTACAAGCAGTGCGTCCGTCCCTTGTTAACTCCCAACCGTCCCGCCCGCTGTGTTAACCCCAAGTCACCTCTCACCCGCCTACGTAAATATCCGTGTTCCTTGTGCTGTTGTTTTCAGGATACACACGGCGGGATGGCGGAATTCGCAAGGACGGCGAGATTGCAAGGGGACGACAGCAGCGGAGAAGGGGCGATGGCGGAAGGGCTGGCGACGGCATTCCAGTGCTTTCAGGACGGGATGGGGGAGAAGCTGATCTCCCTGGCCCAGCAGCAGTCGGCGCTGTTGTCGAAGCTTGAGGCCTCTCGAGAGGTGAAGGGTTTTCTTGAATGCGTCTCATGTATAGTGTCGAAGAGAGGGGATGAATAGACTGATTGATGCCGTAAGGGGCGGAGAGACAGCACGCCCAATACGCGGACTTTGAAAACTCCATTGCTCCATAACCAAGTAGATGCGGAAAGAGACCGATACTTCTACGGAGAGCCTTCGACGAGAAGCTTGAAGAACCACCATTGTTGGTGTTGGCACTACTGTAGCTTGGTTGTGGAGCAATCGAGCTTTGAAAATCGGTCTAGGGGCGGTGCCATCCGCCTCTTACGGAATGCCACGGTACGGTATACCACGGTACGGAATACCACGGTACGGTACAGGCAATCTTGGCTGTGGAGCAAACCAGCTTCGAAAAGCGGTCTAGGGGGGGTGCCATCTCTCCGCTCTTACGGTAGTAAGTAATATACGGAGTAAATGTGTCAATCGCTGAAACACTACGCGTTCGGGGTAATACCACGGTAATCTGAGGGGATGTGTTGTGTTTTGATATTCCGGGATGTGTTGTGTTTTGATGTTCCGGTTGTTTTTTGTTTCAGTTTCGGGGACGCCATAATATTTTTAGTCTTCTTCCGGCCTGCTTGGCGCTGCCCTGGGTGCCATCGGTAACGCTTCACCCGCGTGCGACGCCCGGCGTCCACTCGGTAATGAGGTGGTTCGTGTCAGCCACGAGTCACGTCAACCACGACGGACTCGGGCTTTCCACGAGCGATACGGTGCCAGAACAACCCTTTTATCCCGCGCCTGAGTGTCTGTTGCCAGAGGACGTGATGTTCACCCGCGCGGGTTTTCCGCGGCAAGGCAGGCGTCACGTTTTGGCGTACGGCCGTCTGACCTACTTTATGGACCCTTTCCCCGGCTCACGAGCTAGCTCACGACCGCTGTCTTTCTCCCTCCCCCCCCCTCTTATCTCCGGTCTTGATTGGCACCTTTAAACGTGACTGATTGTGAAAAGACAGGCCCTGCCGGTGTCTTCCACCGGACGAACGCGAGACCGTAGTGGGCGCGCCGAGTACAACGAAGACGTTGAATTCATCGCCAAGATCATGTCCCAGGCCCCATCGTACGCCCAACGTGTGCGGGCGCTCGCCCAGCAAAAGGTAACCAGAGATAGCTTAGGAGATAAAGCTTGGGGGGAAGGTTCTTGGTGCTTCACCAGGGTTACAACTTGGAAGTTTGTCTTATATATTGGAGTATAGAGGATTGTCCGGTGCACAAGGAGCAGGAAGGCGGTGCGGTTTTTTGCGCCATTTCGGAGCATGGTTGGTGGCCGCTCCCGCGCCCCCTCTCGCGCGGCCCTCATGGCGCCGTCCATTGCTTCGTGTCGCGTTGACGCTCGGTCTTACTGCAGCACCTTTGATGGGTTTCATTCTATGTTTTTGCCGAAGTACTACGGTCGACGCGCAGAGTCCTAACGCGTCGCGCTTCATGGCTATGAACTTCGCGTCCTTCAGGCATCGCTAGATGCGCGGATGGTCAACCTCCAGCGAAGAAGCACCGGGCTGAGGGAGTCTCTGCCCGTACCGATGCAGCGTCACCTAGCCGAACGGTTAGAAGCGTCTTGCATGGCCCCGTTTCGGGAACAGGTGAGGCCCGTGTGTACAACGCTTGTAGCCGAACATAAATCGGACGGCGGTACGTTGTGCCTTTGTCCTCGTTGTTGTTGTTGTTGTTGTTGTTGTTGTTGTTGTTGTTGTTGTTGTTGTTGTTGTTGTTGTTGTTGTTTGTTGCTGTTGATGTTGCTGTCGTACGTGTGTTGTGCACGTATCACCCTGCCTTGATAGATTTGATATTTTCCGTCATTTTTCCGAACGGGGTTGCTTGGAGCCGAGCTAGCATCGACCCCCCCCCCTCCCCCCGCCACCGTAAGTAATCCGACCCACCCCTGCCAACCTATGCCGGTTTCAGACGGATATGGCGTTCGTGACGTGCTACCAAGGGGGTGTCGCCATAAGAACGGCACCGAGTCTCGATGCGCCATGCGCGGGGGATATTTTGCAATGGAACGAGGCGAGTGGAGTCAGTCCTTTCTCCCTGTGACAGCTCTGACACGTGGGGGGTGCGTTTCGGTAGACCGGCTGTTGGCATTTTCGACGTGACGTTTCGTGCAGGGCTGATACCGTGTCTCTGTATTTGGCACCCGTTGCCAGGGGGCGCGCGGTGCGAGTAGTTCCAGAGGCAAGCAATGTTAAGATATGTACGTGTCTGATGATAGTAAAAACGACTCAGACAGCAGCGGTATGCTGATACACACTCACAACACGCTCAGATCGAGGTGAAGCTACTGGTGGTTGGACAAGTGTGCAAAAACCCGTTGGTGATGGTTTATAGTCGTATTATGGTGATGTGAGCATTGCTCAGGCTACAGCTTAAGTGCCGAACTAGGAGAGGGAAAATTGGGAGTGAGCTCGTTGGGCGAGCTCGTCCTCTGTCTGTTTACAAACTCCAGAACCGAAAGACTGGTCCGGAAACGTTCCGGAGTCCTATGTACCTTTCTACTTGGTCGGGCAACAGTTCTGGAACTACGCTTGCATCGTTCCACGTGGTGTGTACTCAAAGTACCGTTCCTGCCATCACGTGTTGTTCCTCTCAACGTTCTGGAGAACTGGTCCAGGAAACTCAGAAACTTCTTGAAATATTCCTCGGGGGAAATATGCATTCTACCCAGTAGACTCTCCGCATACGCTACGCTTTTCTCCACAGGATGGATCCTTGCATACAGTAACCATACAGCGTATTCAAGCATACTGTAACCAAGAGTGTTACTGTTGTATTTCTCAAAAACAAACAAGCTGCTTCAGAGCCCACCTGGTGAGTCCGTAGGTTCGAAGTTGCCAGGTTTGGCCAATGATTGGGATGACGAAAATGGGAAGTAGCCCCCCAGGCGCGGTCCCTCCAAGGTGTGAGCGAAGGGGGAGGCCGCGCCACCAAGCTCCACGGATAGTAGACAGGAAGATATGTATGATATTCCAAGTGAGTGGCCCCCCCCGCTGTACCGTCATCATCTGCAGATCCTACGATCCAAGCTGCTGTACAAAGTGTCAGCCCTTACTCCGAAGGAAATATTCTGCCCCCACCAACCCGCACACCCACTGCTTTTGCATCGTCTCCCGTTCTTGCCAATGACCCCACGCGGGCAACCACGAAAATCCTCCCATTTCCGCAGGTCTTTTGGGCTTCCGAGCGACTAGGGCGGTTAGGGGAGGACATGATCTACGTGAAGCTGAGGGACGGGCGGGGGTGGGTTTTCGAGACCCTCCACGGCAAGAAAGTGCTGGAGCGGGTAGCCCTGTCATCGATGGAAGACATTGAAGATGCTGGCCCAGCTGCAAGCGGCAGTAGTAGTAGTAGTGTCTTAGAAGGAAATGATCGATGACTTGTGTCGTCAGATCTACTACACGGATTTTTTTTATGTATTTTGTTCTCGTCGACGTTTTACTTACGAGAAGTGCAAATATGTACAGTACATCCTACGCGCGGAAATCTCTGTCTATCTTGGATGGCTCCGTCAGGGCAACGGCTCTGAAGATGTTTGATGCTTGATGCTCGGAACATAGACCCAAGGGGGAAGGTTGACGTGCCGGTGGTGTGGCAAGATAACGACAGGAGAAGAGCCGCTGCTGGAGAATGAGTCGGGTTATAGCATCTAGGGCCCCCACTCCAGGTAACAACAATATGATGAGAAAGAGATTACTTTTGGCGCAGGTTCGCGAATCTTTGAAAATGGGGCTAAGAAACGTAGCCTTACCTGAGGGACAGGATAAGAAACATACCTGGTGCTCCTGGTATGAAGAACCTCGTGTTGCTGCAAGCCATGTTTGGGTGCGCCGCGGTTGGCGTGATGCACGGAACGCATGACCAACTCTCAGCTTGGACTACATGATCATACCGACGCCGCCTCGCGTTTTTTTTCGCGTACGATACGAGGGAGGGCATGCACCAGAACAAGAGAATAACGAGCCGATGCTTTTCTTGTTGTGCAGGTAAAGATTGCGCCTCGTCGTTCGGTACACGACAAGTACCGTGACGATGCTGGATTTCGGGGTTTCGCGTGCGTCCACGTTTGTTTGTTTCCGTCTAGTCGCAAAACCATTGTCAATCATACATTTTGTGTGTATTGCGAAAAGTTCACAGCACGCCCTGGATCATTGTATGTATTTCGAAAGGCTAACAGCACGCCCTTTCTTGCGTTTTCTGCTGTTCGCAGTCATCCTCATGCCACTGCTTGAAAAATGGTACACCTGTGGTGCCGTCGACGCCTGACTTAGTTCCATCCGCGGTCCCTCCCCCCCTTCGGTTCTCAAACCTCGAGCACAACCCGAAAAAGTACAAAACAGCTCGGAACCAGCACTCACTGCCGAAGGTATTCGTCGGCTTGACATATCAAGCCAAGTCACAAGAACAGGCGCATGCAACTGACATAAACAAAACACGGACCCAACATCCTCACCACTAAAACATCTTGTATCCGAAGCATCAGACATGACCTTTACCAATATCCACAATACATGAAAGCCTAACGTGCGCAATTAATTACAAAGCAGGCGTGATGTCGACGTCCCACGGGTGCGTGCTTGTAAAATAAAACGGAAACTATAACACACGACCCCGTGTTTTCCATTCTCAGCGTCGTTTCGTTATGGCCTGCGTGCGCACAGCAAGAAGTTCGAAGCAAGAAACCCAACAAGAAGAGAAGAGCGTCGCTCCTGTTCGAACGAACAAGATACGCCAATAACGTAATCCACTCATGAGCACGAACGCACAACATTGCCCCGCCCGCGGTTTCAATCACCACCGGAAACTTCTTGTGGGAGCCTTTTTCTCGCATGGCTGTCTTGCCGCCGGATCGACCAACAACCCTGCTAGGGCCATGGCGACGTCACGAAGGACGGATGTTCTAGTATCAACCCCAGCAGACTTCAGGGGCCTTCGATCAAACACTGTCTGATGAATGATGAAGCCTCCCCCCCCGACGATCGTTGGGTCGCCATAGGACCGCAAAACTTGGTTCGGAGACTCGTTTGTCCCACCAACGGAAGGGATTGCCCGGGCGCCGCCCGAAGGAAAAGTGGGTGTCGCTGTGCTCGAGGACGGCTCATCCAATACGGTGCAGAGGAGGAGACGCTCAGAGCTGGCCCTCTCTCGCATAAACAGCATCTGCTTTTTCACCCCTGGCAGCTTTTGATAGTAAAGGCTTACCCATTAGACCACTAAGTCAGCGCGCTGACTTAGTCTAGTGGTCTAATGGGTAGTCTAAGCCTTTACCAATCGAAAGATACACTCTCGGCTCGTAGAATCCCGGGCTGTCAGTAGAGATCTCCGGGGACGGACCCCTCGCCAGGCGCTGCTGGAAAAGAACTAGACTATGGTGCTTTTTCGTAAAGTGATCAGCCCGGGATTTGAACCTGTGCGTGTATCCTTCGAGTGGTAAAGGCTTACCCATTAGACTACTCAGTCAGCGCTGACTGAGTAGTCTAATGGGTAAGCCTTTACCAATCAGCAGGATCACTACTCGCGACGGCGCTTCGCTGTTTGGGTAACTAACCCAAACGGTTCGGGATTACTTCTCGAACGCTAAACCTATGTTTGCACCCGCGCCTGTTCCAGCGACCTCCGCATTCATACCCACTTCGTACGTGGCAGCATGTATGATGTCTCGAGTGAGTTTCACTCGCGAACTTGAAGGGCACTTGGACCAGAAACAGACTTTTATTGGTTGGGTTGGAAATGAGAAAGTCGTGGTCATTGGTATTACTCGGATCGTTCTCGATTCCGGAAAAGACGTCGGAAACCTTGCCGCAACAAAATATGGTGAAGTGGTATATGCGAGCCCTGAGATAAGTGGCACCAGCTTCGTCCACCAGGTCCACGTAGTCTTTTCCGATTGACTCCCGTGTAGTGTCACCCGCATTATTGAGCAGAACCTGCAAAAAAGCGAGAGCACATGTGTCAACAAGCGAAAGAGGCGCACATCGGAAACGGGGTACTGCATGGTCAGACAGATAAGAGTTTGACAGCAGAAGTGCCTTGTCAACTCCACTTTCCGAACTCAATTCCTTGTACACACCAGCAAGGACGTTCACACACGAGCCCCGCGCGCGGTTAGAGCGGATCTAGTACTTTGCATCGTTCTTGCCAAACATGAACGCGGGAACGTGACGAGACCGTCTCAAGTAGAGGGGGGGGAAGCGGGATGTGTTGAACACATAAGGCATGCGGTGAACCTCTAGTTTCGGCCGAGGCTGGCTGGGGTGTTCTTGAAAGCCCCATGGTTGTTAGCCTACCAAACGACCACCTGGCTATTTGGTACCAGGTAGTTAGTGGTTGCTTCCCGGGCTCACAAAAGGTATTTGAGTCGTCATGTTTTGCCACTGCGACCTACACAGTGTTTCGTGGACGACAAGGCCTTCGTCGAACTTCCCGCCAACAGAAAGTTCCTGTGTCATACATGATACGTCGGATGATCCCACGAGCCAAGCGTTGGTCCCTTCGTGGTCGCACTGGATGTTTTTGAAACCTTGACTGCTGGCTGAATTGAACATTAACATTTCCCGCCTTCAAACTCGACCACGAAGTCCGCCACTCGTGCTTGTACTGGCACTTCGAGACTGAACACCTGTTCTGATTGCCAAGCTCTCCCCCCTAAAGAAAAATAATAGGCCCAACTTTTCTACCGTCAAGACATTTCCTCCCTAGTTGGAGGTATCCTTAACCTGGTAGTTTTGGAGAACGTCTTGGAGGACACCTTTCCCGCCGCTGATGACAGGGTCTTCCAACAAGATGTTCAAGCAGCAGGGGATCCTGAAAGCTAACATTTGGGGGACAGTGGATGGTGGTGTCGGTGATGTAGTCTCGCCCTTGGGCCTTCAGAAGCTGTACAGAATGGTTCAGGATGATGGGACCCGGCACGGGACCGACGAGACTGCCTTTCTGGACCTGTAGACGGACACCACCCTCCTTCGAGACGTAGAGGCTGCTCGCCTTCAGCTCTTCCGCCAGCGGTTCCCACTCGTCACCTGTTGCAACACACGATCACGACCAGCAAGCACTCCCCAAATTTCATCTTGAAATTGAGAAATCTTGAAGAGGCAAAATGCTTGGGTCTCGTCCATGCACAACACCGGCCCGTGCCACACATTTTTTTCTTAAACGTGCGAAACGTTTCGTCGCGAGGCACTACTTTTTCGCATCGCTTTCACTCGTACTCGGCCAAGACACTCACCTGCAGCAAACAACTTAGCCGGGTCCATTGTGGCCTCGATGTCGCTCTTGTGTACCGGTTGGGCGGGGGTCACATCCCCTGTTGTCGTGGACTGGGATAATCGAAGCATAGCGGTGGAGTGCTTAGAATCGAACCAATTCAATTCCCCCTCTCCCGTCAGCAGGGTGCCCACCGACAGTTGGTAAGACTTGCAGCCGTGCGGCGAAAACAACAAGTGGGGATACCTCTTACCAAGCAGGTCATCGTCCCACAAATCCTGGTCTACCATGTCGGGGCGCTGGTCGACAAACTGAGCAACGATCGTGGTTATCGTTGTGTGCTCAACAAGCTCAGGTGTCGAAGTGAAAAACACGAGCTCACAATCTCTGATGGACTCACACTTTCTGGACGCACAAAAGGCCCTTTAAGCGCTGCAGTCACAAAACTCTGATTGTTCCGGTTCGCTTTGGCCATCGCTTTCCTTTCCATCCACCGGCGATCCTCCTGTTGGAACTAAAAGGAGTTTGCGCAATAATATTGACGTGTTGCCATTTGCGTGCGTGCACGGGACGTACTAACGGGAGACAGGTGCACTTGTATCGCCTACGCAAAAAGGCATGAACGTGGGGGGACCCTACGACAAGGATGTACCTCCAACAGCCAGCTGGTGGAGAGATTCAGCAAATCAACCCCCTACTTGCAAGTCCTGGACGTTAGCATCACAAACACTGCTCAAGATCTGCAAACGATGTCATGTACTTTTCGCCGCCGTAATTGATTTGGGAACAGACTTTCATGGTGCTATAAATACTGCGTGAACTCCTTTGGTATCTGCAAACCGTTGGTAGTAGACCGTTTTCCTTGAAACTGTTCCCCATGTGGGGGGGGAGGCACCAACTGCACAGAGAACATAGAAAAAAGTATCCAGGGAGCTCACCAGACGACGGGACATCAATCAGTACATGGCGGCATGTGAGCACACTTTGGGTTGGGTACACATGGTAGGGAATCGAGAACGTCAGCCCTTTTTGTTGGAGTGTTACGATTTTCACTCTGCGGGTACGCTTTTAGCCTCGGGCTAGATTTTCGGAATTTGGACCCGCGTGAGAAACAACCATAGGGCAAATACCTGCGGTTTGTGGCAGAAACACGCAAACTCCCCAGGACATGCAGACCCCACGTATGAACCCTTCATCTACGCTTGACATTGTCTCGCCTGCCTTACGAAGATTGCGAAGCGCCACTAGACAAAGCATCAAAGCCCCGGACGGGGTCACCGGAGAGTAGACCAAGCGAGGTGGAGCCCGCAAGGGGATCGTGAATCGCGAACATGGGGCACAGAACAAAACAGTGTCGACGGCGCCAAGCCACGTCAGCTGGGCATGTATGTAGATACGTCGAGAATTGTCCTTGCCACCACCATCCCATCACAACCAAGTCTATTACCGATCGGTCAATCGTTTTCGTGGCTGCGGTTAACGCCAAGGCCATCGAGTTTGATATCAACGTGTGCGTCGTGGAAAAAAACAACCAGAGAAACGGTAGGAACGATCCTATACTATCTCTAGTTGGGGTGATACATCCCGTAGGCCACAAGTAGATGCAGCATCACGTCCCATTGTCTAGGGCCAGGTATTCAGCCCAAGGTGGGCGTTTGTTTCCTATCTTCCTGTTGGGGGGCATTACGTTTTTCTC